AATAAAGTTTCAATTTAGTATTGCTGAAAACTCATCACATTCAACATTTAATCACTCACTCACTCAGATAGAGATGGGTTTAAAGGAAAATTATCATATAAATATAATCTGGTAAAAGCTGGTATCTCTGGGTATTTACAATGTCCCCTGCAACAGAAAAAAACCCTCTCATTTGGGACTGAGGTTTCTGGGACAGAGATATGACTTGGCCCAGGTTGACAGCAGTGGGTAACATTGTGCATTGTCTTTCCCCCACTTAAGAGGACAAACCATGAGTGAGATAGAGGTCTCATGTCTGCATCAATCTGAACAGTGTGCTGTGTTTCTGCAGTCCCCATGACTGATTATTAGTCGTATTCCCCAACTTGCAGGCACGTGCACACACAGGGCTCAACCTGTGCAGTGCACATGCCCTTTTTAGTCTTGGATAGAAAGTTCCCTTCCAAAATGATCAAAAGTGCCCCCGCGACGTGACATACCCTCCGTCCCCGCTTTACTGTACGCGCACGACAACACAGCTGATCAGAACTCGCGCGACAACACGGCGGATAAGAACTCGCGCGACAACACGGCTGATAAGAACTCGCGCAACAACACGGCTGATAAGAACTCGCGCGACAACACCGCTATTCAGTACGCGCGCGACAACACAGCTGATAAGAACTCGCGCGACAACACCGCTATTCAGTACGCGCGCGACAACACAGCTGATAAGAACTCGCGTGACAACACCGCTATTCAGTACGCGCGCAACAACACGGCTGATAAGAACTCGCGCGACAACACCGCTATTCAGTACGCGCGCGACAACACAGCTGATAAGAACTCGCGCGACAACACAGCTGATAAGAACTCGCGCGACAACACCGCTGATAAGAATTCGCGCGACAACACCGCTATTCAGTAAGCGCGACAACACAGCTGATAAGAACTCGCGTGACAACACCGCTATTCAGTACGCGCGCAACAACACGGCTGATAAGAACTCGCGCGACAACACCGCTATTCAGTACGCGCGCGACAACACAGCTGATAAGAACTCGCGCGACAACACCGCTATTCAGTACGCGTGCGACAACACAGCTAATAAGAACTCGCGCGACAACACCGCTATTCAGTACGCGCGCGACAACACCGCTATTCAGTACGCGCACGACAACACAGCTGATAAGAACTCGCGCGACAACACCGCTATTCAGTACGCGCGCGGCGACAACACCCGCTTTAGGGTTTTCCAGCTCTTTTTCATCCCCGCTTCTAGCAGCACACTCCATTTCCGCATTACTGGATCTGTAGCGACAACAGACCGCAAGGGATGATGGCCAAGCCTGGGCTGATGGGAATTGTAGTTTCCGGTACCTCCTGTTCGCTTCATTCGCCTAAGCAAATTTTCTCAGAAGACCTATAGTTTTACCGAGTCATGCGACTACGGTAATATCGAAAAAAATTAATATTTGTGGTATGACGGTATTTACAATACCGTTACATCCCTAATATGCACGCATAAGTGGAGCAACATGCTCGCGGCTTTCTGGGAGCCCACAGTAGAAAACATCTGACGGTGAGAGTTGTGCGTGAGTTTCAGTGCAATGTAAACAAAAGATATGTTAGACGAGTTATTATTAAAATGATTATGTGTGCATGAACACAGATGACAACAACAGGTGATCTAAATAGCTGCTTGCCTAATATAAAGCTTGATTTTACATTAGATGTGATAACAGTGAAAGCATGATTATTCCTCAGACTATATAATTATACAACCAAAATCTGTAACTGTTGCATCAGTCACGCTCCATTCACACGGGGCGTCAGCATCAACGCTTCCCATTCACTTTAAATGAGTGACGTCAGGCGTTGCTGAACTGCATTGTGGATCCGTCGGCTCTGTTTCAGAGGCGTTGCTCGCTGCAGAAGTTGGGACTAGCTCAACTTTTCAAGCGCCGATGGAAGCGTCAGCCAATCAGATCACTGTATGCAAATACACCAGCTAGACAGTGGCCTATTGCTGACTGAATTTCATTGGCTGACGCTGCTGTGACGATCTCTTCAGCCCCAACTTCAGACATGCCCACTGTTAAGCGTTGACGCTGAAGCCCCGTGTGAATGCAGCGTAATTGTTATGCAGCTCAAACATATGAATGTGTCTGAATGTAGAAGAGGCCTGCTTCAGCCATGCACTGCTTCTGTTCTGCTCTGAAATACGACATTTGAATGTTTGTAAAAAGTCTATTGTACAGTGAGCTAGTTATGTAGTTTCATAATACAATATATTCACATTTGAATGTAGAAAAAGCCAGCGTGGGTGTCTTGAGGAACAATACAGCATATATGCCGTTGTGTCATCACTCACATAGCAGGTCATATCTCTCCGGCCCTTCGTTTGGGATGCTCTTCATGAACCGGCCCCCATGATGAACTAATTGCTTAGCCCTGCACTACATCATAAACACTGACTCAAGTCCTGGACAGTTCATGTCATTTTTGTAGTAAACATGTGTATGAACTCTGGGTGTTTCCCAGTACTGGGTTGCAGCTGAAAGTGCATTCGTTGTGTGAAACATATGCTGGAATGGTTGGTGGTTCATTCCGCTGTGGCGACCCCTGATGAATGAGGGATAAAGCTGAAGGAAAATGTCATTTCAGTGAGTTTATTATTCAGATCAGAAGAGAAACATGAAGCCTGGTCACAGTGGCGTTTACATTCACAGCGCTCTGTACATGAGGCTGGAAAACACACACACACACACACACACACTGGTCTGAGGACAGCGTTCACACACACTCTGAGAGGACAGAACAGCGGTTTATTTCACTGCTTCACATCTGCACTTACAGCAGGTACACAGGAGGACACATTTGGCTACAAAAATATTTCACAAAAATAGCACTATGACGGAATATATTCATATATATATAAATGTGTGTGTGTGTGTGTGTGTGTGTGTGTTATAGATTTGTGGATTCATTACATGAATATGTATTTCTAGAAACGTATTTCTATGTGCATCTCTGTGTGTGTGTGTGCGCTCATGATGATGGCGCGCACATGATTGTCGTTCAGCATCAGTGTTGTGGCTCGTCAGTGATTCTCCAGTTTTGGTGTGTGTTTGGGTTTAGCTTATAATCCGTGTTAGGCATATACATGAGACAGACTCGGCCAATCAGCAGCGCCGCTGGAGGTAAGGGGTGGGCTCAGGGTCTCTCCAGGAACCAGATCTCGTTGTGTCGGTGTGCGGCCGCAGGGTTTGTGTATCCGGCCACGATGAAGGAGTCGCTCCCCAGAGCGGGAGAGTCCAGAGCCTCGACCAGACTGCGCAGCTCATGGAGGATCGACAGCTCGTTAGTGGCGCCCGTGAACGACCTGAAAACACACACACACACACAGACACACACACACAGACACATGTTCAGTTCTCAGGCGCAAATGCACACATGATGCTTGTATGACAGAATAATACACTCTTATTTTCATTCATTCCCTTGACAGCTCTCTTACTTACTATGAACCTGGCTGAATATTAGTGTCACACACCCACACTCTTCTCTCTCTCTCTCACACACACACACACACACACACTTTCTCCATTCACTCTCTTAAGCCCGCTCAGATCACAGGGTGATTATAGTCGGTTCTGAAAGTCCTCATGGCAGATGAAGCGCTTTAGTCTTGATGAAATCGTGACGTGTCGTGGGTAACAGATGTGCCAGACTACACGCTCCCTCACCGTCAGTCATCCTGTCACGTCTACGGCGAGAGTTATTAGTACCGAGTGCTGCTATAACAATATTTCTCATCTCAGTTTCAGTGTTTTTATCTTATTTTAATCTCAGTAAACGCTGACGCTTGCAGACCGCTAATAACTACAGTATTTAAGGGCATTCCTGATGACAGGGACAGAGCCAAACTGAGGATTCCTGTTTAATATTAAGATATCAACCAACCCAACTATGAGAATAGATTAATAGCCATATTTTTTTTATCGCCCAATAGGAGTCTTGCGTTAATGCCAATAACAGCCCACCACTTATTAAAACATTAGTACATATATCAGGGGCGTAGATTTAGGGTGGACGTCCCCACCAATTTTCACCAACTACTGAAACGTCTCCACCAATAATTTAATTCACTTAAAAACATCGCGCTGACATATAAACGTATAAACCTAGACATGCCGAAAGGGTTAAATCACGTTCTCTCCGAGTCGCATCGCCCCCAAACGCATATGAACATTGTGGTAGGCTGTGCCTTTCTATGCCATCATGTGAGTGGCTGCTTTCAGATCATAGTTTCAGATACAAACAGCGACAAAACAACTGCGCGGGGGAATTTCCCGATGTGTGAGGTGTGTGCCTCGCTCAAGTGAGGATGGAGGTAGCAAGAAGAGGTGGACATACAGAGGTTTTTCCAACGAAAAGTGTGAGTCAAATAAACTCAAGTTCGCTACTGAATGAGTCCATCATGATAATGCCGTTATGCTGGTGTTTTCACCGCTTTTACGTTCAGTCTAACGTTAAAGCAGACTAGTTTGTAAACAATATTTCCTGAAAACTAACTGCAGAATAAACACCTACATGTAAACGTATATGACCCTGCCAGTTCTCCTAATCATCTCCAATTTTGGTTGAAACAATTTGTCAGAAAAACTACAGCCTGTGCTCCATCTTTAATAATACTATGAGACATGTTCAACGAAAAATGAACGAAAGTCTTTATTAAACTCTCTCTTAATCAGTTAATAAACATTATTTTAACATAACACTTTCAGGCCTGTAGCCAGCTTATTGAAAGGGGTTATTTGTTTTCTGAAAAACTGAACCTTTTTGCAGTTCTTCACCTGATTTTCTGTTTAATTGAGGTATAAATATGACATTTTAGTGACGTATTAAGAACTAATTTTTGCTGGATAATCTTGTTGGATAGTTATTACAACTACACTTTTTGATGTACCAAAACTATTTCCTACCATTTTGTCAAATTGCTTTATTTACACATTTAAACTAAGTTTTATTACAGTTTTATAAATAATAAAAATACTTTGAACTAGAAATTAGGATTTTAAATTCTTAGAATAAAGTAATGAAGAGTACATATGCCAAAACCTCTAAATGCCATGTAAAATGACCATTTTTCTCAGCCTTGTATATTTATGTTGAGTTATTTCACTTTAAAGGCAATGAAAATAACATATTTGTCACAATCACAGTCCACACACAGTAGTTGGAGAAAAATGCTCATTTTAGAAGAAAATATTAAATGGCATTTAGAGGTGTTTGTATCTAAACTCTTCAAACATGTAAATATAATTATTTTTAAAATACAATTTTTTTTATCATAATTTTCTTTGGGAAATCTGTTAAAACTGGATTTAAATTAAAAACTGATGCCTATTGACCTTATTCTCCGCAGATGAGCGGGCGCTGCCATTTGAATCTTTTTGGCACGAGACTTCCCATATCATTCACTTCCATTCATTTTTAGACATTAAAAACTGCTCGTTTCGCTGTTTGATGTTGCAAACTGATATTTTCTTATTACATTATTCTACTTGGTCTGTATAGTCATGCAAACATTTGTTTGTAGAGCAAGTAGTTTGACCGTTTTTTGCCGTTTATTATTCCTTGTCATTTCTCCCATAGAAGTTCCAAGACAATTGCGAAAACAGGCGCTCTTCCACATTTTAGAATAAGCTCAATAGGCAAATAACAAACTGGCCGGCGCATTCAACCTTCCTCAGTGAAAATTTGTCCATTTGACTAATAAGATCAATTCAAACATAATAATAATCCAACTTTTGGTCTTTCAAACCACCCGACCCCCCTTGGCTACACGCATGATTATTTAATTTAACAAATTGTAAGAAGAGAGGATTACTTAATAATACATTTTAATAGCAGTTAAATAATAAATAGCAATATATATTTATATATATATATATTAACAATATTCATTCTTGGTGGGGGTGACTCGTCCCCAGTCCCCACCAATGTCAAGCGCAAACCTACGCCCTTGACATATATAACTCAGATTTGTGATACAATCACAGTGAAGCTTTCAATGAATCCTGATTTCCCTCACAGCCAAACATTCATGCGCAGAACATGAGATTGTGTTGTTTGTTGAATAAAACAATAATCTGGCCTGAATAAAATGAGAGTGTAATATTGAGTGTCAGAGACGGCGATATTGAACTGTTTCCAGTGTTAATGACGCGTCTGCATCAGCACGAGAGGCTTCTGCAGTGTGTTCACAGCACTGAACATGCTCCCACACTACCTCAGAGGAACACACTCTGCTGGAGGCTGACAGAACTCACACACTCGCTGTGAGATGGAGACATGCATGTGTGTGTCAGGCTGTCAGATAACACGGCCTAAAACACTTTCATATTTTAGAAAGGGCGGTTATAGTCTGCAGAACCGATGACTGATCTCCTCCACCCGTGACCCGCTCATGAGGAAACATACAGCCTGTTGATCGGCCGACCGGCGCATGAACAGCAGCACCCGCTGATATACCGGAGAGATGAAGAGCTCCTACTGCTCAGTGTCAGCCACAGACCGAACTCATCGTGAAGATCGGGGAAATATGAAACACGCTAGACTCTCTGCGCTGGTGTCGTGAGGCGTCGCAGGCACGGTGTCAGCTGTAGTGAACTACACCACAGTACACCAGAAGACATGATTCAATCTTGTCATGACGCCCACTTGTCACTAACGAATCCCCACAACAAATTTGTGTGATCTGGCTGGGACTTTACACACACACTCTCTCTCTCACACACACACACACACACATTCTCTCTCTCTCACACACACACACACACACACTCTCTAGTATCTTCACTTCTGAATAATTCAAATGTGGGCGGGGCTTGGTTTTGTCAGTAGGCAGTTGATTGGTCGTGGTTTGCTATTGGTGGACAGGTTGAAAAGGGAGAAGTTATGATTTTATAAACGGCAGTAATGATGTGAAGGGATGAAATGATTTAGAATGAAACACTGCAGTACTTCATTCAGACTCAGCAGTAACTGTTTACTCTGGCTTCAGTGTCCTTCAGGAGCTTTACTACGGTAGCTCTGCACAATACTGGGGAAAAGATTCAACATTGCCGTAACTGTTTCCTGTAATATAACGTTTGTCTTGACTAATTCTGTTACTGTAAATCAGGGGTGTCCACACTCAGTCCTGGAGGGCCGCTGTCCTGCATAGTTTAGCTCCAACTTCCTTCAACACACCTGCCTGGACGTTTTCATGTACCGAGTAAGAGCTTGATCAGCTGCTTCAGTTGTGTTTAATTGGGGCTGGAATTAAAATATCCAGGTCACCGGCCCCTCAGGACTGAGTTTGGACACCCCTGCTTTAAATCACTTTAATGATCACACTAATAGAGGTGACACATTAATAATAATAGATTATTTCCTGATCTAATTAAATCTAAACTCTGTCAAGGCTCAAACATTTAGACTGTAAAACACGATGAGTGAGTGTAAACCTGGGCAGATATTCTGAATCTGATTGGCTGTTGGTATTTTCCTCTCTCGTCTCGACTCCGCCCACTAGTGTTTATTTTCAGCTCTAGCCAATAGCTGAACTGCACCTACTGGGGAGGCGGGGATACAGATAGTACGGCCTCATCTGATTGGTCAAATCTGAATAAACAAATTATGCATGCAAAATACAAATACTTGGCATATATGATCAATTAAACTGATCACACCTCTTAGCGATACACACAGTGTTCAGCATAAATGACGCTTCTGAAAATCTATATATCCAAATCTCAGTGACTTTAATGTGTGTGTGGTGATGTGTGTGTGCTGTGGTGTTGTCAGATGAGTGGATCAGTGTTGTCTTTGGTTCTGACTAATCTACTGTATCTGCACACACATGTATTACTGTAGAGCCTCCTGCAGAGAAGATTACTGTAGAGCAGAGCTCTGAGAGACTCATTCATGATCAGCGCTGTATACAGCATGCACCAATACATCACAGTGACAATTACTGTGTGATGTATTGTGCACTCGTATGCATTACTGTAAACATGATGGACAGAGGAGTGTGTGTGTGTGTGTGTGTGTGTGTGTGTTTCTCACCGACTGTAGACTATCGCAGCGGGCCACTGTTCAATGAGGATATCTGGGTCGTACGGTCGCGGTGGGTCGTTCTGGTACGGTGTGGGCAGGTAATAGGCCACAGTGACGGCGCGGGACAGAGTGGTGTTACTCTCATCTGTGCGCACCACCGTCACGATGGGTATCGTCATGCCCAGATAACTGCCTGCAGGACACAGACTGACCATTAGATGGCGCTTCGCTTTTGCTATGGGAGAAATGACTAAGAGTAATAAACAGCAGAAAACAGTTAAACTACTCGCTCTACAGTCATGTTCATGACTATACTGAAAAAGTAGAATAATGTAATGAGGATATATCAGCTGTTTTTTAATGTCTAAAAGTCTGTGGAAGTGAATGAGAGCAGAAATCTCGAAAGAGTCCAATGGCTGGACCCGCTCGTGCATGAAGAATACGGTCGATGCTGGATTGTTGAATATCGGCACACTCTGACCTGCTGAGTTCTGCTGGCAGATGAACCTCATGATCTTCATGAAGCCGTAGCAGATGCTCTGTTCATACGTGTCCTCGTGAACCGTGATGCAGGCCCAGTGTGCTTTCTCATAGTGCCGCTTCTCGTACAGCACCTCGCCACACTGCAACACACACACACACACACACACACACACACACACACACACACAATCATCAATACAGCAGAAAATGAGAAATCAAGAAGACAGATCTGCTCACCAAGGCTGCTTTATTTTAATCAAAGGTAACTTTTAAATATTGTTGCTATTGAAAAATAAAAATTGTATGTGCGTGTGTGTGTGTGTGTGTGTGTGTAGTAAACAGTAATGTATTTCTGTAATGTATATCTACATTTTCAGTCTCATTACTCCAGTTTTCAAACATTCTAACATGATCTGAAGATCCAGGTCTGATGTTCATGACGGTGTGTGTAAACAGTATTTGATGGTGTTGAGGACAGTATTTGTGTGTTTGAACAGTATTTGATGGTGTTGAGGACAGTATTTGCTAGTTTTTGTGTGTTTGAACAGTATTTGATGGTGTTGAGGACAGTATTTGTGTGTTTGAACAGTATTTGATGGTGTTGAGGACAGTATTTGTGTGTGTGAACAGTATTTGATGGTGTTGAGGACAGTATTTGTGTGTGTGAACAGTATTTGATGGTGTTGAGGACAGTATTTGTGTGTTTGAACAGTATTTGATGGTGTTGAGGACAGTATTTGTGTGTTTGAACAGTATTTGATGGTGTTGAGGACAGTATTTGTGTGTGTGAACAGTATTTGATGGTGTTGAGGACAGTGTTTGTGTGTTTGTTTGGGTGTTGCTAAGGTTTTTTGTGGAACTTCTTAATTGTTTTGTGTTATTAGACTGCTGCTAGGGTGTTTTGTGGTTGCTAGGGTGTCTCTAAGGTGTTTGTGTGGTTGCTCGTGTGTTGCATGGTATTTTGTGGTTGCTAGGGTGTCTCTAATGTGTTTGTGCAGTTGCACGGTTGTTGCAGGGTATTTTGTGGTTGCTAGGGTGTCTCTAAGGTGTTTGTGTGTTTGCTTGGGTGTTGCTAAGGGGTTTGTGGAATTTCCTAATTATGGTGTTTTGGGTTATTAGAGTGTTGCTGCAGTGTTTTGTGGTTGCTAGGATATTTTGTGGGTTTCTTAAGTGTTGCAAAGGTGTTTTGTGTGGTTACTTTCTTATTGCTTGGGTCTTTGTGTTGTTAAGAGTGCTGCTATGGTATTTTGTGGTCGCTAGGGTGTCGCTAAGGTGTCTGCGTGGTTGCTTGGTTGTTGCTAGGGTGTTTTGTGTTGTTTATTCAGTGCTGCAAGACTGTTTGTGTGTTTGCTTGGAGTTGCTAAGGTGTTTTGTGGGTTTTTTTAGTGTTGCAATGTTGTTTTGTGTGGTTTATT